ATAGTGATAAATGGCTTGTAGTACAGCAAATCTCACAAAAATTGCAGGTCAAACGCCTACCTTACTCAAACAAAGGCACGCACATACGAGTAAGTAATGAGTTTTGAACTACCACTCAGAACCTGATTAGGGGTTCTTGTTTTGAAACTTGCAAAATGGACAGGACCGAGTCTTATTGAGCGGGTCAAACTAAGAGTTTGTTAGGTTCAATTTTTATGTTTTCCTTAATATTAAGTATTGTGTGGTAACGGAGAAAGATTGACAATCAAACAATTATTATAAAACCAGAAACAACAAAATCTAGTAAAACAACGTCTCAGGGTCTCAACGACAGTTCACAGCAAAAACAGCCACGTTTCTCATTAAAAAACTAATAAAATTGGATTGTCGGTTTTTGTTCAAAAGTACCTAAACCTCCAACTGGTTAATCTCTAAACGACTATTTTTTCTAGAGATCATTTTCTGCCACCTACAGGCCGTTTAATTTTTATTAATTTTTATTAAAAAAACTATGTAATTTATTTTTTTATTTTAGTTCTTCCGAAATGGGGATACCCTATAAAAGATCCTATAGTCCTTAAAACCTATAAAAGATCCTAACAACTTTTTCATTTACATATTTAAAAAAAAGAGCATAAAACAATGTTAGTTTTTAGCAAAACCTTAATTATTGCACTTGATGTTTTTTCTAAAACTGGAGTTTAACATTCGATCGAATAGTTTTCTTCGTGGCACTTAATTTAAAAAGGCAAGACTTTCATGTTGGATTCTAACACTATACCAAAACCAAGCTAATAACAGGAGTGTTCCACACCCTTCCCAATCTGGCCCCTTTCCTCCCGAAATTGGGATATTTACCACACTAATCGCCGCAAGTGGCAAATCTGATCAGTCGAATTTTTCAATTGCCAGCTAATTTCGTCTCTCAATGGGGTTCCTAAGAGGGGAATTAAACACAAGTTTAATCGTTTTACGGTCTAAATCTGAGACGTTTTGTACAAAAAATAATATTTTTAAATAGGCCTTGTATTTGTTTTTGAGCTTACTTTTCTATCGGCGTTTTCAATACAAACAGTGTCATTTACAATGTTGCTTTCGATAAATTTCTGATTACTTTCCGTGTAGGTTTGTCAAAATACTAATTTGGAGGAAGCTGATCTAATAGACTGTTCTGGTACCCGGGTTCAAATACCGCCAGATACCAATCTTGTATGGATGTATGTATGTCAATGTATCTTTGGTATGGAGATACATTATGACACCGTGTGGTGGTTCGATCCCACCATATGCTGTTCATTTACCAAGCAAACCAAGAAACCAAGAAAGATAGCCTTCTGGACGACCTTCTAAAACTTTTCTACAAAACGTCATATGATTATTATCATAGACATTCCAAAACTGTTTAGGGACGTTTGAATCGAGAGTTAAAAACTGTTTCTCCATCTTCATCTAGTTTCTCGAAAACATTCTAGTACTCGTTTAGGAAATTAAATTGGTATTTTTACTGTTAGCTGTTGAAATAAATCAGATTCTGATTCAGTTCAGTTAATGTATAACATTTTAACTGGGATCAAGTTCAATTTTACTTTGCAATTGGGTTATTTCGAAAATTACTCCGAATGAGAAAAATCACAGGGAAATTAGTTGTCTTGTTAGTCCTAAATTGCCATGGACTTTTGAAAGACGTTTTCCTACAAGATAGAACTTTTCAAAAACCCGTTGGAATTGTAAACACCTTATAGCCAACAATAGGGTTTCAAATTAATATTCTAAGCTACGTTGCATTCTAGTCTAGATGATAATTTCTAACAATTCCACCTTTAAACGTTGACTATGCGCGTGCGGGGTCAATGTTGATTGCAGTTAACATTTACATATTCAATATATTTGACATTGAGCATTACCGTTGGTAAATACTGCTTAATAGATTCCGCCAATTAACATACAAATGTTACTCAACTTCTTATTTCCCTGGTGTTCTGCATACAATTTAAATGTTTCACCTTATATTAAAATTTATAAAGGTTGGTGGATAGCGTTCCTAGCGCACACTAATAATTAAATGAAATTTCGAAATAGCATAAAAGGATCCGAGTTAAAATTATTACATTATAAGGCAACTGACTACATATTATAAGTTCCCACCAAGAATCTTAATGGAAACCTAGATGCACGTTGTAGCCCTAAAATTCACTCTCAAATTAGAAACATTTTGATCGAAAATGTAAATGCAAACCTAACACAACCTCAACCTATTACTAACCGAAGTTTTTAAGAAGACCAAATTCAATCAAACTCACACGGGGTTCACACAAATCGGTATAAATTCCACCGGACGTAACATTACACAGAAAGCGAATCCTGTCATTTTTATTTCCCAATAAATAATATTTCCGTTCAATCAAAAGTTCTTGATTTCGCCAGGCGTCGTTTTCTGTTTAATCAGAATGTAAATAAAATATGGGAGCTCAGGGAAGCCGGAACTAATTTATTTTTGTCCAATATGAGTCACCGCGATGAATTGACGCGACATTTAATCACCTGCCTACCGTATATGACATTGTGTCCTGTTGTCGTATACTAGAGGCAATTGAACAATCACTCCCAACGCTTTTTATCCCTTCCTTCATCGCTGCACAATTGGATACTTAACTCATCTCGACGAAACTTAACGGATTTACACATTATTTTGCTGTACATATTTGAAATTGTTGCGGCTTAGTGGCGCACATTATAATGTAGTTTCCGTCATTATCGGATTCGTTTAACAGCACCCTACTTCATTAAATGCAAAGTTATGATAGTTAATTTTGTATAAGTGTTAAATAGACAAGTCAATAGTGTTTGGAAGTCATGCCATCATAATCTATCTTTGATGAAGGTTAACTTGTATTTAAAAGGGTTGCTGGCATCTTAATCTTACGGTTTCTGTTTGGATAATAATAAAAACCTCAAATAACACTTGAATATCTACCATAGTACTGCACAAAACCACAATTTATCATGGTTACTCTATGACAAAACCCAAAAAGTCTTTTGGTGAGTCGAGGGTTCAAACGATAACGCCACACAACCTTTGCATTTAGGTGACGCGTTATATATAGAGCATAGTCCAGGTTATAAAAAGCTCTCTGTATAGCATAGGTTCAATGGGTTCTGTAAGGCTTTCATAGTATGAATCACTTAAGTTTAAGTTACACCTACATTTCAATTTTTACCATTATTATTTTTCTATTATCTATCCTAGCAAATCTTACGTACGTTTCTTTAATCTGTCCTACAAGAAATAGTTATTTGTGTTAGTAGTGTGCAAATAAGAGAAATGTTTACGCACGAGCCACAGGCGAGTGTAAACGATTTCTCGAGTGCACCAAGGCAATTTGCACTCGTGTTGCACATTATATTTTTCCTACATTTATTATAAAGCATAGGAATAATTAGTCTTTCAAACACTAAAGAACACGTTTTAGGTTAGGTTAAATCCAAGCGTACACAGCTGATCGTAGTCGTAGTATCTTTAAGTGTTTCCAACCTATTTCCAAGCGTACACGGATTACGTGCATAATAAAAGCACGCGTTATGTGTTGTTTGGTTGAAATACTGGTGTGCGACAAAGTAAAAAGTGTGTGGCAAAGTAAGTAAATGCAGCAATTAGCAGCACTCTGTACTATAATCATTGCAAGGAAGCCCACTTTGTCGGGTGACTGTAGGAGAAATAATTTCTCATCATATAACGTTCTGGAAGCAGAGGTTCAATCCCGACTGAACACCAATGAAAAAATAGTGCGACCCGATAGTTCTAAACCAGCAATCTGAAACAATTAATTCAACTATAAAAATTGTCATAGATAAGACTCTTTTTCGGAGTTCTCTCTCCGGGTATTCACACGATAATTTCGTTTAACGTTCGCAGCTGATGACCAGAGGTTGCGTAATTGAAATCATTATTTATTTTCACTCGGTGGATTGACAATTAAAAACGCTGACACATGGACGGCAATGTATTACTTGTCGATGATAAATCAGCACAATGAATAAACACAGTCGTTTGTCCCGTGGCAACATGGCGACTGACATTGTCACAGATAGCCCGATTGATGCGAGGATTATCCCCAACCTTCTTACTTTCTGTGATTTGCATCCCTCCAAAAACCCTCTGGGATGAATTGAAACAAAATATTAGCGAAAGGAGAATTTTGAATCATCAAATAATTGCTAAATAGAGCCACACGTCGTTGGAAATTTAATATCATGTGGTTAACAATAATTACTATGTCTTTGTTATTAAATGTGGACGTAAATGGGAGATTTTAACCCAATGAAATGAGTGAGAGGATTAGATACCTTATAACTTTTTGTTTACTACGATAGACTGTTTCTTTAGTAAGAATCATTTGGCAAAAGGTCAGTTACCAGCTGGGCCCAGTTTAGAAGTGTTAATAAACTATTGATTTTTCTTAAGAGCGAACCGAAGACCTTCAAATTTGAGATAAGAGCACTATCAGCTGATACTATATTATATAGAGACCTAGGAAGACTACATGAATTTTAGTGTCCTAACTTGACAAATTAATTAGTTTGTAAGAACTTTGCAGCAAAAACACTGTTGGATAAGAAAATTAACATTTCAGGATAAGTAATACTGTTTGGTTTTAGTTAAATATATTTGAATTTTCTACTAGTACCAGGATTTCCAAAGATAGCTTATCTTATCTGACCTACTTTTCCAGTCTGCACTGTCCACTCTTGCCTTAGTTAACCCAGAGTCAACATGTACTCCTTGCTCATTCTCTTGTATATAGTAGATTAGATTTTGACTGTTTTAAAGTGAACTAATAACGTTTAACATGTAATTATTAAAGTATGTGTTTTATAATATCTCCCCCTTCTAAATGTCAGAGAGTGCCTTTTAATTTGTAAAAATACCAAAGTGTTGTGACGGGAAGACCTCTAAATGATTTTGTGACCTTCTACCATCTACGGATTCTACGGCTACGCAGAATCCCCTCATCTACCCGCTCCTGGAGAAGATTCACCCATTCAAAGACTGTCCGCCCCTGGTGATCTTCGCTCCCCGCTTCAGTCTACCGTCAGGCATCTCTTCCGAACCAAAGGACTCAAATCTCAAGTAACTGTGTTTATACTCATTTAATTAATTGGTATTACTCTGACATGTTCCCATATTTAAGATATATTTTGTAAATTAAAGTTTGAATTTCTCTTTCGCTACTCAGTAAAATTTTCTCATTCTCTCCTTTGAACCCGCCCACAACAAAATGGTCCTTCGAGCCGGATTCTGAATTTCTAGTAATTTATAAAGTTAGACCAAAGGAGAGAAGTAAAAGTTTTACAGTATTTAGGTTTTTTTTTGTAGCATTCCTATCTTAAACCTTAGCCCTTATATTTCCATCACCAGCTAAAATGGCAGCTTTAAAGAAAGCCGAAATCGACTCTCTAGTCAAAAAGAGAGAAAAGTATTATGCAAGGTTACAAGCTCTCTATGACGTTGGTAAAAAATGTATCCAGCTTGCTCAGCAAAAACAATCTTTTAATACAGAGTTTGATTCTTTTGTATCACGTTATCAAAGATTAGAGGATGATTATTCTGTGTTTGAACAAACAAGTGACAGTATTAGTTTGTTAAACTCTCAAGTAGATGAAGGAGATAGAGTAGAGGTTCATAGTGCATCAATGTCCTATGATGATTTGTATTTTAATGTTAAAACCATTGGGCGAAAGTTGAATGTAGATAAGCATTTGCAGCAAACAAAGACTGACTTATCTGCTGATAAGCAATCTCCTGTCCATAGTCCCCAGGTAGCTCGCCTTCCTAAATTGGAAATTGAACCATTTGATGGAACCTTATCAGCTTGGCCTAATTTTTATGCTTTATTCACTTCTATGATTCATAAAAATCAATCCTTATCTAAGAGTGAAAAACTCACTTATCTACGCAGTCTATTGAAATCACATGCGCTTTCACTCATTGAAACCTTGGTAATATGTGATGAGAATTATGATATTGCAATGAGAACTCTCACTGATCGTTATCAGAATAAACGTCTCTTGGCATCAAACTATCTCGATAAGATTTTATCCTTCCGCCCTCTCACTGAAGATTCTACTGTTACCTTATCAAACTTTTTGGAAATTTTTAGCGCAAATCTGTGCGCCCTAAAGGCTCTTGGATTGTCAAATTTATTTGATTTTACAATGTTACACATTGGTTTACATGCACTAACATCGTCATCCCGCAAAGAATTTGAAAATGAATATTCTGATAAAGATTTACCAGAATTTGAGGATCTAATTTCGTTTGTACAGCAACAACTCAAAATCCTAGAAATTACTACATCCAAGGGAAAGCTAAAGCAAAATAGACTTAATACATCTCCTAAGCCAAGTAGTTCTAAAAGTTTCATGCTGTCAACTGTTGATGAAAAAGGTTTAACTGGAACTGCAAAGCGCCACGTATGTCCCTGTTGCCAAGAACCCAACCATAAGATCTATGTGTGTTCTAAGTTTAAGAAACTAAGTTTATCTGACAGAAATGATTTTGTTAAAAAGCATTTCTTGTGCTTTTCTTGTCTTGGTTTTCACACAATATCCGAGTGTAAATCAACCTCCAAATGTTTTAAATGCAATGGCAAGCATCACACCCTTTTGCATCGTCCAGCTACTAATGCAACTGCAGGCCCCTATCTCTCAAGAGAAAAGAGCTTAGAAACCAAACCCAATGACATGAAAGAAATACATAATCCTTCCTCATCCAAAACTTGTAATTTTGCTGATGCAAATTCCACCTCAAACATGATGTTAAGCACAGCCATTATCGGCATAAGGGATAAAAATAACAAACTGACACCAGTCCGAGCCATTATTGATGGTGGTTCCCAAACTAGCTTAATTACTCAAGAATGTGTTCTCAAGTTAGGTCTCACCAAACATCAAAATAAAATAACCATCAAAGGTATTGCAGACACCCAGGTCCCATTGAACAAAGGTTCAGTAACATGTAACATAAGCCCTCTTAAGAACTCTCATATATCTTTGAGTACTGAAGCAGTTGTAGTCCCAAAGATATCATCCGATCAGCCAAACATTGATATTGACCCTACAATCATCTCAAGATTTGATAATCTACAGCTCGCTGACCCCACGTTCTATGAAAGCTCACCTGTTGAATTTCTAATAGGAGCAGATTTGTATTTCGATATAATAAAAGAGTCGCATAATATCATAAAAGGTGAACCCTCTGCAATGAACACTATTTTTGGATGGATAGTTGGTGGTAGAGTGGCCACTTCCTCATGTCAAAGTGAATGTTCTTATTTTTTAAACTGTTGTGAATCAGTTGATAGTACTCTCAAAAGGTTCTGGGAGGTAGAAGCTGTTCAAAATGTGAAGTATCCTAGTCCAGATGATATTGCAGTTGAATCACATTTCACAGAAACACATATCAGAGATAAAACAGGCCGCTATGTTGTATCGCTACCAATAAAACCTGATGCACCTGACCTACCGAACACAAGAGATAAGGCAGAGAAACGACTTATCAGCCTAGAGAACAGATTAAAAAGCAAACCAGAAACCTATCTGGAGTATAGAGAGTTTATGGATGATTACCTAGCTCAAGGTCATATGAGTATCACCAGCATCCCCTCACCTTATGTAATTCCCCACCATTGTGTAAAAAATGAGAACAGTAGTACAACAAAGTTGAGAACAGTGTTTAATGCGTCTTTTAAGCCCTATGCAAATTCCTCTTCCCTCAATGATATCCTGTATAGTGGACCAAAGCTGCAAAGAGACATAGGAGAGATAATAACTAATTTTCGCCTACATGAAATTGTTGTGTGTGCCGATATAAAACAAATGTATAGGCAAATCGTTGTGAATCCCACAGACCGAGCATTTCAGCACATATTCTACCGCACAAATCCCAATGGAGATATAGATGAGTACGAGCTGAACGTATTGACATATGGTGTAACATCTAGTGCTTATTTGGCACAAAGAGTATTACTGCAACTGGTTGAAGATGAAGGCAAAAGATACCCACTCGCCTCTCAAGCTATCACTCATCAAACGTTTGTGGATGATATTTGTACCAGTGTTGATTCTCCTCAAGAAGCACTTCAGTTACAGCAGGAACTAATTACACTTCTGGGATTGGGAGGATTCACCCTAAGAAAATGGGCCAGTAATTGCCACCAAATATTAGACAGCGTCCCGCTTGATTGTAGAGAAAATCCCCTCGCCCTACGCTCCGAAGACGACTCTGCTGTTAAAGTACTTGGATTACAGTTTGATCCCGCTGAAGATGTATTTTTCTATGTAATTAAACTGAACCCTGTAGTTTGTACCAAGCGCTCAATGCTTTCTGAGATTGCTAAAATTTATGATATTTTAGGATGGATAACACCCACTACGTTTTATGCCAAACATATCATGCAGAGCACATGGTTATGTGGACTAGAGTGGGATGACCCCCTACCAGATGAACTTCGCAGTAAATGGACAACATTTATTTCAACCCTTTCAAGTCTTTCAACCCTAAAGATACCTAGATTCATCCCTACAACTCCTCACAGCACAAATCAGATAATAGGATTCTGTGACGCATCTGAAAAGGGCTACGCAGCAAATATCTATATACGAACTGAAACCTCGGAAAACATATCAGTACATCTTATCAAAGCGAAAAGTAAAGTTGCCCCACTCAAAACAATGAGCATTCCTAGATTAGAACTTTCTGCTGCTCAACTACTAACAGAAGTTGTATTATCTAGTACGCATCTAACCCAGACTGTTGACCCCCAGAATATCATATTGTTTTCTGACTCAGCCGTTGTTCTTATGTGGTTAAAAACTCCTCCTTACAAGTTAAAAACATTTGTTGCAAACAGGGTTGTAAATATACTTGAGTCAACTAATCCAAAACAGTGGCACCATGTATCATCTAAAGAAAATCCTTGCGATTGCGCATCCCGCGGCTTGACACCTGAAGAGCTTGTAAATTTTGACTTGTGGTGGAAAGGACCTCAATTTCTGTACACTCCCTTTGATTCGTGGTCATTACACCGTTCATCTGAAGAAGAAGTAGAGAAGTTGCCAGAGATTAGAAAAGAATGTTTATCTACAACAGTTGATAACCAAAACAGCATTGTATTAGAAATGCTTGAAAAATATTCTAGCCTGAGTAAAGCTAAATTTTTAATTTCTTATGTATTAAGGTTCATCAATAACGTCAAAAGTAACGCCAAAGGTATAGCTAAGAAACAAGGACCAATATCACCTCAGGAATTGGAACACACATTATCTCTCTGTGTAAAGACTACACAACAACGCTATCTCTCAAAAGATATTTCTGATATGAAAAATAATAAACCATGCTCTAAGAAATATCGCTCTTTAGCTTTATTCATTGATGAAAATGATTTCGTCAGGGTGGGCGGTCGTTTGAAAAACGCTAACTTAACTTACTCCAGGAAACACCCCTTTCTGATACCCCGTTCATCACGCCTTGCGACACTCATTTGTGATTATTATCACTCATTAGCTTTACACTCAGGACCCCGCTTGACACAGTCTCTCATTCAAGAAAAGTTTTGGATTGTAGGAGTACGGCAGTTATTGAGGGAGCGTATATTTAAATGCCAAAGATGCTATATGTTCCAAGCAAAACCTATAACGCCTAAAATGGCGGACCTACCATCACTCAGATTTGAAAGCATACGTGCGTTTCAAAATGTGGGACTAGACTACGCTGGACCGTTTGAATTTAAAGAAAGTAATAGAAGAAAATCCCCACGCCAAAAGGGATATATTGTCATTTTTGTTTGTTTTTCGACAAAAGCTGTACACATTGAGTTTGCAACGAGTTTATCAACACCTTCATTCCTTGCTGCATTGGATCGTTTTGTTGCCAGAAGAGGTCTCTGCCAGTCAATAACAAGTGACTGCGGAACCAATTTCCAAGGAGCCGCAAACTATTTTTCTCAAATTCAGAAATTTCTAAAAGACAATAATCAAGACATAGCACATCACCTAGCTTCAAAAGAAATTAAATGGAATTTTATCCCCCCGGCAGCACCCCATTTTGGAGGCCTTTGGGAGGCTGCAGTCAAATCAGCAAAACGTCACCTCATCCGAGCTATCGGTACCCTGATATTAACATATGAAGAAATGTACACCTTACTGACAAGAATTGAAGCCATTCTGAATAGTCGCCCAATAGGAGCAATGACCACTGACCCAAATGATGGAGACTACCTAAGCCCTGGACACTTCATTGTAGGAACGCCGTTGTTATCACCACCTGAAGAGGACTTCACGGAAACTACGATGAATCGTTTGGAAAGATATCAACTCCTACAACAAGCTGCACAATCGTTTTGGAAGCAATGGTCTCAAGACTACCTACAAACACTGATACCCAGGAATAAATGGACTACATCACAGCCAAATCTTCAAGTCGGAGATGTTATATACCTTCAAAACAAGGACAGCAGCCCTCTGGAATGGCCTATTGGAAGAGTGATTGAGACATACCCCGGACCAGATGCTACAGTTAGAGCCGCAAAGGTTAAGACACCTCACGGAACATATGTGAGACCTGTCCATAAGCTGGTACCCTTACCTCCTACCAATACCTATTCCTAGCTTAACGCTTGAATATTAGGTTTTGCGATCAATTTTTATTGTGTGATTTTCCTCTTAGTGTACCATTTTGTAAATATGCATTTAGGTGGGCGGTATGTTTGGTTTTAGTTAAATATATTTGAATTTTCTACTAGTACCAGGATTTCCAAAGATAGCTTATCTTATCTGACCTACTTTTCCAGTCTGCACTGTCCACTCTTGCCTTAGTTAACCCAGAGTCAACATGTACTCCTTGCTCATTCTCTTGTATATAGTAGATTAGATTTTGACTGTTTTAAAGTGAACTAATAACGTTTAACATGTAATTATTAAAGTATGTGTTTTATAATATCTCCCCCTTCTAAATGTCAGAGAGTGCCTTTTAATTTGTAAAAATACCAAAGTGTTGTGACGGGAAGACCTCTAAATGATTTTGTGACCTTCTACCATCTACGGATTCTACGGCTACGCAGAATCCCCTCATCTACCCGCTCCTGGAGAAGATTCACCCATTCAAAGACTGTCCGCCCCTGGTGATCTTCGCTCCCCGCTTCAGTCTACCGTCAGGCATCTCTTCCGAACCAAAGGACTCAAATCTCAAGTAACTGTGTTTATACTCATTTAATTAATTGGTATTACTCTGACATGTTCCCATATTTAAGATATATTTTGTAAATTAAAGTTTGAATTTCTCTTTCGCTACTCAGTAAAATTTTCTCATTCTCTCCTTTGAACCCGCCCACAACAAATACAATTTCACCAAGATTCAAATGTAAGAACTTTTCCTGAGTTACAGGACGCGTGGCAATCCTTTTACGAAAAACTAAACTATCGTCTGACCCAATAAACTAATCAAGTTTCAAAGCCCTAAATATAAAATCGTATTAATCGATAGTAGCCCATTTATTTAACCATGAGTCGACAGACTCATTTAGGCTAACCAAGTTTTCTTTGAGTAAAATAACTGGTTATAGATAAAAATGTCTCTAATTTCACAACAATTTTTACTTAAATTTACGTAGAAACGAATGGAGTTTTAAGAGTAGGCCTACAAAATGCTTTACCGATAGTTTCAACACTGGTGTCCACTTGAAGTGTTTGTTTAGCTAACGGCCTGTTATACCCCAGTCGCATATTGATAACTCCTAAATCCATTAGTCGGTGGACATTGTCGGTAATGCAGCAGGTAAATGGTTTAATGCCGGACAGGGTTGCCACCTGCTATCTCAAATATTGGCAGCACTACTCAGTGTTCAGTTATGTCATTCTACGATCGGCCCGCAGTGTGCAGTTGGCCAAACTGTAAGATTTATGAGCGGGCTGAAAGATGGGCTTGCTATTATGGTAACATTGATTGGTCCATGTAAACTGTTATGTGGTCGACTATTTGACTTCCCAAAGTCAATAGCACGGATTTTGAACGGATAATAAGTTTAAGGACCAACAATAAAACATTATCCAATATTATTGTCTATCAATTCGTATAGAAAGAAGCGATTGTCGATGATAGCTGATTAACAAAGACAATTGCCGTTTCTAAAGCTCTCGATTTAGCGCAAGTGAAACGCGATCAGCTGGTTGACTGTTGGTTCTGCAGAAGGCTCTACTCAAGGTTGGCGGTCAACCTAGTACTGTACTGTGATATTTTCATTCTTTAGGTTATTGCGGATCATTCTTAAATAAAATAATATTCAACGATTATTTCAGGTATTCATTTCAACACAAATTAACAGTAGTTTGTTATTTTGACTAAACAGAAACATATCGGAACAAAGTAATTATAATTTCCCGGGAATTTTCATATTTTTTTTTACCTAACCCGCCATGTTAAACTTCCCTATCCCAAGCGTGATGTATACAACTTCCTTACTTCTCGAGTGATGTAAAGTATCAAAAACTCACTCGGTGATGTAATGAAACCCATTTAAATAACATTGAGTGATTAACTTAAAAAATATACCTCTATGGAGCCAACGACGTTCAACGCTAGAAATCAGCTGTGCTCTTGAATTTTATTGTTATGTTTTGAAGAATTTTCCTAACCTAGCTTTTGTTTGTAAATTAACGTTACTGTTAGAAGATGAGTGAAATGGATAATGATTAATATTGTTCGTAACCTCCTGTACATTGTTGGGTCATAAAATCTTGTACGTTACACGTTACGCAAGAGCGTGTTTACATCACTTAGGTAAATTATGCAACTCGCTTCCGCTCGTTGCACAACCTTCACCTGCGTGATGTAAAAACGCTCTTACTACACTTGTAAGGTAAATAACTATTACATTACGTGAATAAAAATATATATTTAGGCCTATAACGACCTCGGATGACCGGGGTGTACTATATTCTTGTTTTTGGTACGCAAAGTTAATTTTATCATGATAACTCCATAGTGAAACACGCAATGGTGTAAACCAGTGGATGAATGAATGTAATGATAATACTGCATGAACAAATCTAAAAGTGTAGCTTGATATTAAGGAATTAATTATATCCAGACCTAGTATGTGTTGAAGTGGAACAATACAAATAAAAACCAACATAATCGTAAATAAGGTCATAGGCCGATGATTTTCTACCCTTAAAACTATAATTTATTGGTCTGGAAAGATATTTGCATAGTGAAATAAGAGTGGTCCAGGTTAGTTAGAACACAGAGAGTTATAAACAAGTTCTTTTTGTAGCTTAATCGCACTTAATTGAACGATTGCGGATTTCCACAGTATTACAGATTACTAAAACCACAATGGGGGTTGGAACTTTAATGCCCCAAGAGTATTTTACTTGGTCATTTGCATGAAACGTACCACTAAATATACTGTGGAAAACTGTAAATATATCTCTGTTTGGAAAAGAATAGCCAAAAGTATGATCAATTTAGGAAAATTACAAGTAAAGTAAACTTAAATTTCAGTAGAAGATTAAAACAAAAATTACAATATAATATAATAGTAAGAAAGGATTAACAGGGATGGTAAGAAGTATTTATATTATTAAACTAAGTGGGTTTTATAAACATTTACAAACACTTTTCAACCACATATAATTTCTTTATAGTTTAACGTGACGCTAAAAAAAACCTCTTATCAGCTCTTTCACAAAATAATAATGCATATTTCGTAGTTAATTTGTTTGACCAATGCCGAAAATAATTCAAATATAAATATCATTACTACAATGGAAAATATATATTTTTCTTCTTTTAGCGAATTTCCCATAGGTAATACAGATATAAGCTATTACCGTAGTACTCATGGTAAGACCTTGACCCCCTTTTACCCTCCTATTGCAGCAAACCTAAGTACTCGTTAAACTAGCTCTATTTAAATAGGGAATAAATGTGGTATTTTTAAGGAGACATTTTAGTGTAAATCCAATCGGGCAAATGAAAATTCGCTAAGTCTGCAGGCTTGCTGCGGCGGGGGTATTTACTTATAAATATCTTAAATGGCTCCTTGAAAGATTTCGTTTAACATTACAGATTTAAAATACACATACCCATGACTAAAGAAGCAATAAAAGAAACGAATGTGCATTATGATTATTTAACAAAGAATAATTTAATGTAATATAATAACCACATTACTCGTACAAATCACCCCAGATGATCAACCGACTGATAGCCTGCACTGACGTATTAGGCCCATTCCGTGCTGAATTTGTACGTAATGCAGTTTGGCATGCAGATTAAAGTTATTATGTCTCCCATTTCCTGTCCAATATGGAAATAGATGTTAGTGGTCGATAGAATACTGACCATACACGAGTTTAAAATATATACTGAACGGTGTATTAGTTTTGGCTCAATCTCAATATTATTAATTTTGACGTGAATCAAGTTGTGAACAAATATAGAAGTTATGTTTGTAAATAAAGAAAGTTTCATAATGAGGAGAATAGAGAGGGTAGTGTGGAAAAGATAAGTATAAATATATATAAATATATAAGATATATGTATAAATAGATAAGATAAGATAAATATTACATTTATATTGCTGTTATTAGTGATGATTAAGTAAAATTATGTTAGCAAACCAAAAGATTACGCGAAATCACATTACACATAGTTGCCAAATTATGTTTATATCTTTCTGGCTAAAAGTTCATTGGTCCTATGGGGTGGGCTGCAGATGGTCCGGCCCAAGATAGTAGCCATATTGCTGAGTGAAAATTTAAAAACGTACGTTTTCATGTCCCTGGCCTTTTACTCCGTCGATACTGGATTTGTAGTTTATTACTATGTGTTTTAGTATTTTTTGGGACGGGGGCAACATGTTACACACATTTATTTGGTTTTAAATCGGTTCTAGGTATTTTTTTTCGTATTTTTAAAGTCTCAAAATTCACGACCATGACGTGTCCCTAGGGTACATTTTCCAACTTTCACGCTGTTTTTAGACTAATTATTCATGCCGAAATATATAAAGCCATATTTTTATGTCATCAATGGTTCTTAAACTTACAAAAAAGGAGCATATTATAATTTTATTATCATTGCAAACTGACTACCATGACAAAATAAGTCTGTCCCTCGATTTGGCGTCACGACCATTTGGGAACAAATTTCTACTTTGGAGCACGACAGTGGCAAGCCTGGCGTCGATGGAGTCAGTTGGTTTTAGAGACTAGTTCGGGGTGTACGTCTGGATTGTAGTGCCGGTCGTTTCGAGTTGAAAGGAGGAATTACAAGATTAATAAAGGAAAGATTGTGTTTATTGTCATTTTTGTGTGTCCATGACCGTACGTAGTCATTCGATGAAGTAGACATGGTGTTAATTTTTGTTTATAAGATATTTAAATTGCTAGATTAATCTAGAAGTCCACTTTGTATCCTCGAACATGAGGTGCAGGGCTACCGCCAGAACAGAGCCAAATAACACGTAATTTCACGACCAAAGTTTCACGACCATCACGGGTTTTTTCACGACCAATCCAGCCTTATGGATTATAGTGTGTTTGGTCGTGACAATAACTTTAATATAATTGTAAATTGATCAGTTTAGTTCAATTGAAACACATATTTTTATTATAACTAACAGTATAATTGAAGGATTGTTTAGAAAGATTTAGATTATTTCAGAAAATTCACGACCGTTCCGCTTGTCCCTGACTATCACGTTTATGATTTATATCATAAAAATTTCAAAAATTAGAATATCGTCATATTTAAAAGTTTTATACACAAAAGAAGCACGCCTCTATACAAACATAACGATTTTTCGGGTCTCAGGTAAGTTTTTTCGGAGTTATACTAACTTAAAAAAATTTTATTGGCTTTTTTTCAACTTTTTGAGTTTTTTCATTTTTTTCTAGAAAGACCAAATATACCAAAAGCTCAGTGACCTTTTTATTGTATAATGGTCATAAAAGTAAATTAGTTTATAGCAAAACATAGTTATAAAAATAATATTAACTATTTTTAATATTCATTTAAACGTCTGATATGGTCGTGACAGGATTTTGTGTTTTTCCACTAAAGATGCTCTTTTAAAAAAAAAAAAAACTACCAAAGATATTGCGTTACCATGGACATTTTATGAAACTTAAAATGTTAATGAAATAAAAAAATATTAAAGTTTTGAAAAAAGGGGAAAAAATTTGCAAA